GTTAAGACTCCTTTAGCTCAGGGTATTGCACTCTCTGGGAGATGTCAGAGATGTGGACTTGTGCTTAGAGGCTTAGAGGCTTAGGGCACAGGGCGTGGGGTTCAAAGATGTCAGGGCTTGGGAGACTGGGAGCTTTGCAAGGCAGAGACCCAAGTATCCGTCGATTCCTTTGATTGAGGACTTTAGGGTTTAGGGTTTAGGGTTTGCCTTTGGGTTTGGGGTTCAGGGCTTAAGGTTCATGGAACCCTTGTTGCTCCCTGAATGAAAGAAGCTCTGTGAAAGAACCCTTAAAGGAACCCTCATACATCCTGGTTGAGGTTGAAACCCTGGGTTCGGGGTTTCGTATTTAGGGTATAGGGTCTGGGGCTTGGGTCAACTTCTGGCAGAAATCCTTGTCCCTAAACCCTCAACCTCTAAACACCTAAACCTTAAAACCATAAATCCCTAAACACCAAACCCTGAACCCTAAACTCCTAAACCGTAAACCCTAAACCCTACACCCTGAACCCTAAACTCCTAAGGACCACTCCAACCGGTTACATCCGCTTCAGTACGACGTCAGTACGAACCCTGCGGCATCCTGGCAGAAACCTAGAAAACCCCCTGTAGCAGCCCCTAAACCCCAACCCCTAACCCTAAACCCTAAACCCAAGCCCTGAACCCTAAACCGACTCTGGGCTTGTGGCCCAGGGCTGCCAGTTCTGTGGCAGAATGGTTAGGCCTCGATGTTTAGGGTTTAGTGGATATCTGATATGCTGGAGTTTGGTGCGTGGGGATTCTCCTTAAAGACGAAATGAACCTGAAAACTGTTTGAGGTTCATATACAATATATAGGGATCCATAGTATTAGGGCAGAGGGCCCCTACTTTGAGGGGTCATTTGGTCCTCAAGGCTAGTTTCGTGCTTTTTGAGATGCCTGCTAGAGCAGCTCTGTTTCGGGCTTCAATCATTTACTGCCGTTTGGGCCAGTATGCCGTCCTCGCCCTGAACGGACGTACTTGTAGCTCGAGGAACCTCGATATGCGTCTCAGGGATTTACAGCTTGGCCGCTTCGGGTCTGCAGGGATTTGGGCTTAGGGTTTATTGTAGGGGCCTGAATAGTTAGAAAAGGGTTTTGGGGGTTCCCTGTTGTAATTATAGAATAGTATACCCCCAAACCCTATTCTAAATTAGAAAGGGCCCCACCTTAGGTTTTGACGAGTTTTGGAGTTGGGAAATCCTTGTTTTTCTCGCGGCTTTTGATCACAAGCCCGGCCCCCAGCTACGAACCAGACCAAGCCTCCTATAAGTGTATTAGATGTGTGCGTGTGCAGATAGATAGGCATAAATATATATATATATACACAGAGGCACAGATATATAGGTGTGCACATATTAGGGCCAATTGCCCCAAACTCGCTCGCGGAACAGTTTAATCTGGCCTGGGAGTTTTGTAATAGGCATCATCCTGATCATACCTGTGTTCCCTTGTCTTAACACTCCTTATACTTCGGGCTCTGCCCTCGACATTCTAGTTGTGACACCGAGAACCGGGTGTTTCGAATAGAAGGCTGAAGCAGTCCGCTCTGTGGACACTGCTTCGCAACAGCGAAGTGGAGCAGTAGGTTCAAAGGAAGCGCAGACAATTGAAAGCAAAATTAATTACCGGAATAGGTAGGTCACCCGTCCCACGCACCTGTGCGGTGCCTACTGATAAACAGATATTGGGTGCTACCGCAAACACGTCGATCACTAAAGCTTTAAATTCACGTTCACAGTCACATATCTACGACTTTCATGCGACTCGTCAAGACCCACTTAAACAAAAGGCTATTCCACCTAGCAAACCCCAAGCCTTAAGCCATAAACCCCTGACGCCCACACCCAAAACCCTAAACCCCAAACCACTAAACCCTTAATCCAACACCCTGACCGCCTAAACTCAGAGATCCTACCTAGTGTAGGGCTTCCTTATCATAATACTATAAAGGACCCCAAAACCCTATTCTAATTATTACGGCCCCTACACTAAAACCCCAAACCCTAAAAACCCCTAAAACCCTAAACCCCTAAACCCCTAAACCCCCAGACCCTAACCCCTAAACCCCTAAACCCCTAAACCAACCAAAGCCTACCGCGCACCCACCCGGCTCTCGCTCTCGAGGATGGCCAGGACTTGTTTGCAGCTGTTGGGGTTTGGGGCTTCGGGGCTTTGGGGTTTAGGGTTTTAGGGTTTTAGGGTTTAGGGTTTAGGGTTTGGGGTTTAGGGTTTTAGGTTTGGGGGCTTTGGGTTTCAGGGTTGGGGGTTTTAGGTTTAGGGTCTAGGGTTTGGAATTCGGGTTTAGGTTTAGGGTTTAGTGGTTATGTGGCTTCGGGGTTTTGTTAGTGTGGGGTTTGGGGGTTTAGGGTTAGGGTTGTTTGGAGTTTAGAGGTAGCGGTTTAGGGAGCTTGCAAGCTTCGCTGTAGGTGAGGCTGTTATGGGGTTGGTTCCACAAGGGTCTCTACAGGGTTGTATGAGGGGTTTGCAGGCTGTTCAGGGTGTTGCAGGTCAGGAACCGAAACAGCACCCGACCAGAAAGTTTTCGGTGAATATCCCTAGGTCATTGGCTAATTATGGGGCCTTGGTGGGTCCCGTCATCAAAGTGCTATAGGGTTGCATCCGGCTCGATTTTGGGCTTGGAAACCTGAATAATTAGAAGTCTATTTCAATATCAAGCTCCCCAGATAAAACATACTCTACGACTGCAATATACCCCTATGGCAAAAGTATCGAAGGCCAACGATGTCAGTCTTTGCAAGCTGCCGCCTCGCTTGTTGAGTCCTACAGGTCAGAGCCAGAGAGCCAGCCTCGAGATTCCTTAAGTCGTATAATGTGGGGGCGTTTAGGGGTTTAGGTTTTAGGGTTTTAGGGTTTTGGGGTTTAGGGTTTAGGGTTTGGGTGCTTAAATAAGTACATGTACTATTTTGGGGGAGTTCCTTATTGTAGGTATAGTGTACTGTAATGGGCCCCGAAACCCTATTCCCTAGACCCTAGATTATGGACAAGCAGAAACTGAGGAGCCCTAATCTAACCTCCACATACAGGATCCTTGTCACAACGACGCTGACGAAGTTTCTTGTGGTTTTTCTGAACCTCCAATAAAAAGCTGAACCACACCGCTTGACACCACATTAATGCTGGTTGCTACTGTTTCTGCCTATGACTGCTCCTAACCCTGTACCCAAACCCTAAAACCTAAACCCTATGTACCCGGCTGGTCCACATCGACCACGAACTCCTCAGCTAGGGCCTCGAAGCTCACCACTTGCGCTCCTTGGTGAGGACTTACCCTACGCCTCTTCTGGCGCCATCAACTGCTGAGGCTGCGACCCTAGCTCCCAGCGCACCCGTACACAGGAGTTGAAGACGACGTCGTCGTGGTGGTGGTGGTGTGAGTAGTACCAACAAGAATAATCGTGGTAGTACCACTGGGAAGTATAGCCATAATCATCATAAGAACAGAGCCCCTAAACCCTAAAGCCTAAACCCTAAACCCTAACCTTAAGCCCTCATCTCTGGAAGGAACGATCCTTTCGTGTTGGACTTCAACTCTTTGGAGCCTTGGCTCTGTGGGGCCGCAGCCATCCTATCAGGCCCAGCAGCCATTTGTGATACCAAGGGCTTAGGGTTCGGGGTTTAGGGTTTAGGGTGGCTTAAAGTTTAAAGTTTTGGATTTTGGGTTTATGGTGTTGGGTTTAGAGTTTAGGGTTTAGGGCGTTGGGTTAGGATTTTGGGTTTAGGGATTTGGACTTGGGAGTGTTGACTTTGGGTTTTGGGTTTTGGGGCTTGGGATTAGGGCACAAGCCCCCACCCCACTGTTTTGAATAAGGGTTTTTTATCATTCGCATATGTACATATATATATATATATATGTATATATATATATATATATAGATGGGATCAACATAACAACCGCGTTCCTTAATAGGAACTGTATCCAACACTCATCAAGGCCCTGTGCTATGCAACCCTGTTTTCTCAAGGGTTCTTGATAATGCTAAATTTGGATTTTACAAGTGTTTTATTCCGTCACCTAAACCCTAAACCCTAAACCCTAAACCCTAAACCCTAAACCCTAAACCCTAAACCCTAAACCGTTGACGCGCAGCAGGACTGTTTAGGAAGGGGACCCGTTAGGGGTCCGTGATTGAGTGCCTACTGGGCAAGGTGTTTGCTGGGCCCCATATACTCTAAAACTCCCACATGCATGGTAATGTATCGATTAATAATTAGAGTAGGGTTTTGGGGCCCATTATACTACATTGAAAAAAAAAAGGAACCCCCCTAATAGTCTTGGTAGTTATTTAGGCCCCTATATTGCTCTGGAATGTAAGCGTATTGCGCGTACATATGACTCCTAAGAGCTGACAGACTGACAACAATCCTCCGTCGTCGGTTCTGTGCTATCATCATCACCATCGCCATCCGGCATCATAAACATCGTCATCGTCGTCATCACCTAATATACTCGTAGGGGCCTAAAAAAAACTACTAAGACTATTTTTTTTTTTTTGGGGGGGGGTTCTTACTATAAGTATAGTAAACTTTTCTGGGCCCCAAAACCCTATTCTAATTATCAAGGCCCCTATAGAAATCCTGCAGAAAGTGATTTTGCACTTCTGCCCCTTGGGCTTCGGGGTGTGAGTGTGCCTACAGGTTTTGTGACCAGCGTCAGCATTCGGTTCGACGCCCAAATTCCCAAGAGGTTTAGAGTTTAGGGTTTAGGGTTCCCGAATTCCAAGAGGGTTTAGGGTTTAGGGTTCCCGAATTCCCAAGAGCAGTGGCTGGGTGCATGTCTGGTTGGGAGTATACGGCCGTTGATGTGGTCAAGGGAGACTTCAGTCAGTGCGGGTGCGAAGCAGAACCTCCCCATCCATGCATCCGGAGCCCCGCAACAGGTTATGGAGTAAGCGTATGGGAGCGTTTAGCAGCCAGTCCCACACCCGCCGCCAACAAAACAACCTGAACTATGGAAGGCGCCATGGCAGCCGTGGTGATGTTGGGGCTTATCAGGCAACTGGACTGTGAAGATTTTAGCAACTTTAGTCGCTTATGGGTGGGATGTAAGTGGGAATCTGTTTGGCAAATCGCCCTTGGGAGGTCCCGAAGTATAAAGTTTATTCTACAGCCCCGGTAGCCTCAGCTTGGCAACTAAAGCCCGAATCAGTCTTGCGCAGTCCCAACTGTTGCGGCTCAGGTTTTACGACTACTTTCATTACTACTACTACTACTCGTCCTGCTACTCCTCCTCTCCTGCTCCTACTCCTCCTCCTCCTCCTCCGCCTCCTCCTCCTCCTACTCCTACTCCTACTCCTACTCCTACTACTACCCCCGTTGCTGCTTTTTGCCTCTGCTCCTGCTACTGCTACAGCTATGGATGCAACTACCGCTACGATAGCTGCAAGCACGACGACGACTATTTTGCATGGGGTCACTCTCTTCAGTCATGCCGAGGTTGCGGAAGTCATTGCGGCTTGGCTTTCTCTGCGACTTGGGCCGCACATAAACCCTAAACCCTAAACCTTAAACCCTAAATCCGAATCCTTGAAACGAACCCTAAACCCTAAACCCTAAACCTTCAGCTGGATTCGGTGCTCGCAGGATGTAGGGTGTGGGTTTCAGGGTCCAGGCTCCTTGTTTAACGTGCTTTCCTGACAGCTTACAGTCTGAGATGGTTTGTTGTCAACACTAGGATCCCTTTTGGGCTCCCAAAATATGAGGGGGGGGTGCTGTATTAAGAGCAGATTTATATCGCATTCCCCACAAGGACCATGCTTTTGACAGTTACGCATATGGGTAGTTCTCTAAATCAAAAGGGTCCCTCTTGGGGTCCTTCTTATTAAGGGTGCCGTACTATTTTGGGTTCCGAAAATAAAACCCTAATTTAGAGAACACTGTAGGGGCCTTAATGATTAGCATAATTAGGGCTTTTGCGGCTCCTTATCATAATTATGGTGTAATATATCCCCAAACCTTGTTCTGATTATTAAGGCCCCTGTAGTACCCACATCTTTCCCTTGTTGAGATGCTGTGTAGGATTTGGGCCAAAGCCAACCACTAGACCTGGACCTCCGTGAGTCGATGGTTTAGGGGTTTAGGGTTTTGGGGAGGGTTTACCGCTCAGGGTTTAGGGGTTTCGGGGTTTAGGGTTTTGGTGAGGGTTTAGGGCTTAGGGTTGTTTAGGGTTTAGGGTTTAGGGTTTAGGGGTTTAGGGTTTGGGGTTGCTTCAAACCGTCGACCTTCCGCAAACATTGCAGCTCTACTCCGAGATTCGCAGACTCTGAAACTTCGATTTCCAAACGGGTGATTCTCTAGATTAGGGTCCCTTTTTAGGTCCCCAATATAGTACGGCACCCTTGTAAAAAGGACCCTAAAAGGGACCCTAATTTTGAAATCTGCCCATGTGGAAAAGCTTGGGGCCAAACCTGTCTGTCTTCGTAAGACGTAAGCCCGTAACCGTAGGATCGTGAACCATAAACAGTAAGACCGAAGAGCCTAAGATGGTAAGATCCTAAGCCCTACCTTATTATCCTAAACCCTTTTCCGTAGACTCTACCCTAAGACCCTAAACTCCCTAATTAAGTTAGCAGCCTAAGACGCTAAACCCCGACTCCCGCGATCCTCTAAAGACAGGCGGCACTTTGGTTCCCATAGAGGTACCTTTTCATAAGTACTTTTACTTTTTAAGGGTCCCGAAATTACAGCCCCAAACCCTAAACCCCAGTACAGATAGTGACCTGGGTTGAAGACTTTTGGGAAGTAGGGTCCTAAGATCCTAAACCCTAAACCCTGTTCAACAAAAAACTGCAAGCCGTCTAAAGATAGGATTCGAGAAACCCTAGTCTAATCATGAAGCCCTATATGAGCACCCTTATAGGAAGCCTTAAATGTACCGTTTGAAGGAGCCCAGTTTACCCCAAAACCCTAAGACCCCTAAACGATACTAAAAGGATCATGGGACTTAGTGACTAAGGTTATTATTCGGGTAACTCTACTTATAGCTACTTATAACCCCAATTAAGGTACTGATAACCATACTTACTAAGTCCCATGGTAACTATACTTATAACTACTTATAACCCCAATGAAGGTACTTATGACTTCTAACCATACTTACTAGGTCCCATGATCCTCCAAGTATGCCCTCCTGATGCAGAGCCAGAGCTGGTCGAGTGCCACGGGCAAGCCTAAGCCCGAAACCCGAAACCCTTAAGCCCTAAACCCTAAACCCTAAACTAAACCCTAAACCCTAAACCCTTAAGCCCTAAACCCTAAACCCTACACCCTAAACCCTAGACCCTAAACTAAACCCTAAACCCTCCGAAGGTAGGTGCCCCGTTTGAGGCATCGCAGCGGCAGCCGACGAACTGAGAGCTCTCTGGCCGGCCTTCGCTGTGCTCGGAGGCCTTCTTGTGTTTTGGGGTTTAGGGTTAAGGGTTTAGGGGTTTAGGGTTTAGGATGGTTTAAATTTAGGGGATTTGAGTTTGGGCGTTGAAAATATTTTGGGGGTTTAGGATGGTTTAAAGTTAGGGGGTTTAAGATTTAGGGTTGTAAAATGCTTTTGCGTTTAGGATGGTTTAGGGGTTTAAGATTTAGGGTTTAGAATGGTTTAGGGTTTAGGATGGATGGTTTAGGGTTTGGGAGGCCATCTTGGGTTTGTTTTGCATGGTTTTGTCGAGCTCTATGGGTGCTTTGGTTCTAGAGGGTTTGTTTCGGGGTTTAGATGGTTTTCAGGAAGTGATTTAACATGTTGTATTTGGGGTCTGAGAAACTCACAATGCGCGTTGCCCCGCATAGGACTGCAGTTGAACCCTCGAGCCGTCGTGACAAATCCTAGGTCCTGCAGGATTAGGAGGCCGGCCTGTGCAAAGAGCATGAGGGTTTCTCAACATCAGGCCCCGGATGGCATATCCCTATGTTGTTACGAGGATCCTACAAACAGCGTCTAGTTTGGCAAGTCCCCTAAGTTGTGTCACTTCCATATCTGCATTCCCAGCATTGGTCACATGTACCTTGGTTTGGCTGCCGCAGTCTCCTCATCTTCCGACCTCCTTAAGCCCAAGAAGTCCTAAGGCTCTAAGGACTCATATTTTAAGGCTATTGGGCCCAAAGATCCTTCTATGAAAGGCTCTTGGGGCAATTTGAGCCTTAGGGTAAGCCCTAAACCCAAGCATACCCGAAAGCGTTCTGCAGTGCTTCTGCAGGTTGCGCGATGGCGGCGTCCTTCTTCGCTCTGCTAGTCGGCCTCTGGACGCTGGAATTTCTGGCTTCACATGCTGCCGTGGCCTCCTGACAAACGCCAAACCGGCACTAGTGTGGAGTTCAGGTAATACAGGATTTGGTTTATCAGCAGTAAGAAGTTCGAACCAAGATCAATGTCTCAGATGCACAGCAGTGTTGGAAGCGTGTTGTTAACTCCAAACTATCAATCAGTAGTTGCGTTAGATCCAGTGTGATTCTGATTCTGGTTGGTTTAAGTGGGCTTCTCTAAACCCTAAACCCTAAACCCTAAACCCTAAACCCTAAACCCTAAACGATTCTGTTTTCAGAGTGGCAGAGATGTAGTTCATAACTCCAAACCATCAGACCCGCAAGCCTCGGCACCGTAGCAGGAACCCCCAAGATAGTAAAGGTAGTTATTGAGGCCCTTACACTAAACTCCGCAAGCTGGGTTTTCGGGGTTTTAGGGGTTTTAGGGCTTTAGGGGTTTATGGGGCTCATGGGGTTTAGGGTTTTAGGGGTTCAGGGCTTTAGGGATTTAGGGGTTTAGGGCTTCGGTGTTTAGGGTTTACGGTTTTAGGGATTTAGGGGTTTAGGGGCTAAGGGGCTAAGGTGTTTTGGGGCTGAGATCTCAGTCTGCAAACCTTGGAGGAGTGGACGCCTTACCCTCTGCTCAGCAGCTCGGGTCATGCGCTGACAGAAGAGGACCTTGGGAGCTTCGCCCAGGACGACTTGCCAGAGGTGGGGTTTAGAGATTATTTAAAGGATCATGAGACTTAGTAACTACAGTTATTATTAGGATAACTATACTTATAGCTACTTCTAACCCCAATTAAGGTACTTAGAACCATACTTACTATGTCCCATGATCCTCCAAGTAGGGTTTAGGGTTGGTGATGTTGATGCATTGTAGGGTCCGGGGTTTGGGGTTGATAGGATTTGGGGTTTAGGGCTGAGGGGGCTCCTTTGCTGTTTGTTAGCCGTGCCCGGATGCCATAGTGATATCCATCCAGCCATCACTTGACAAATAGAATCCGAACATACAGGCAGCAGGCAGAACATAACAAGGAAACAATGTTTTGAAATGAACACACCGTACACACACAGAGATGCGTCATGTGAACCCTAAGTAAGCTGCCCGGCTTTACACAGGCCCTAAACCCTAAACCCCCTACAACCCTAAACCCTAGGCCCCTAAACCCCTAAACCCTAAACCCCTAAACATCTAAACCCAAAAGCCCTAAGCCCAAACCCCCTGACCCCCTAAGCCCCTGAGCCCTAAACCCTTAAATCCTAAACCCTAAAACCCTTCTTGAATTGTAGTGGACTACATGCAGATGGAAAAGCGCCCTTAAAAACACAAACAAAACTTAAGCCCTAGAGCCACGAAGGTCTTCGCCTTCTCCCCTGAGCTCCGATGTCGATTTCCGGCCTGGCTCTCCGTCCCGTGGCCCTCAGTTTGAGGTCACTTGCAAGATCATAATTAATGTTTCGGGAGGGTTTGGGGTCTAGGAAGGCTACTGTTAGGCTAACCATACTTATAAATACTTATAACCCCCCTTAAGGTACTTATAACTACTTATATATCCCCCATGAAGGTACTTATAACAATACTTGATAAGTCCCAACCCTAAACCCTAAACCCTAAACCCTGAACCCTTATAACCATACTTGATAAGTCCCATGATCCTCCAAGCAGGGCTTCAGGGAGGCTAGGGCTCCTTTGTAGGGTTTGGGGTTTAGGGCTTGGGGTTTAGGGCTTGGGGTTTAGGGTTTAGGGGTTTAGGCTTTAGGGCTTTAGGGTTTAGGGCTTGATGGTTTAGGGGTTTAGAGTTTATGGATTTAGGGTTTAGGGGTTTAGGGTTTAGGGGTGTAGGGTTTAGGGCTTAAGGGTTTAGGGGCTTAGTGTTTAGGGTTTAAATGGTTTAGGGGTTTAGGGGTTTAGGGGTTTGGGGTTTAGGGTATTGTTTGTTTTCCGGAACTTCCAAATCTAAGGTGTTGCCTTCACTCGCCTAATGTGCTTAGTAAGGGGTTCCATAAGGGCTCGAGATATGTGGCTTGAATAAGGGCTGCAGAAGTTCTGTAATTCATAGGGTCCCCAGAGACTCCAAAACCCCTTAATTAATAAAGGAATATACCTTAAATTATATTAGGATCCCTAATCTGATTTAAAGTATATTCCTTAATTAAGGGGTTTTGGAGTCTCTGGGTCTACAATCTACAAGGCAGGCAGGCATGGCCGCTAGAGATTCTGCGTAAACCCTAGCCTATGTAAGCAAGCGCAAATGCTAGCATGCCGAAGCCGAAATCCTGCGCTCGATACGTTCCCTAAATCGTAAGCCCCAAAGCCTAAACCCCTAAACCCTAAACCCTACACCGTAATGAAGGGCCCAAACTGCAAAACTCCTCGGGTCTACGCCCAAAACCCTAAACCCCTAAATCCTAAAACCCTCAACCGTGGCTCTCGAGGGCTTATAGACAGCCCCAAAGCTTCAAGCACCAAGGTACTGCTGGGATTTCTGAGCTTGCGCTTCTGGGAGGCCTAATAGGAGCAGATTGAGTATTCAGTAAACACTTTAGACAGAGGGGGAGCGAGAGAGAGAGGGAGAGAGAGACAGGGAGGGAGAGAGGGAGAGAGAGAGAGGGAGAGTTACGAAAAAGCGCCCGAATCCCTTTTCTACTAATGCAGGCCCTACATTGCAGCTTGCGTTTTGGTTTTAGGGGTTGGGGCTTGGGATTTGGTGTCTGAGGGGTTTGAGCTTAGGGCTCAGGGTTTATTGTTGGCTCCGGGTGTGTCGTTCGGGGGGGTTCCCCTAAACCCTAAACCCTAAACCCTAAACCCTAAACCCTAAACCGTTTGGGCTTTAGGGTTTGATTGGGAGAGGCTCCCCAGGCCGAAGACCCGAGAACCAACTGAAGCCTGAGTGTCTGCGACGTCCATAACTCTTTAGGGTTTAGGGTTTATGGTTTAGGGTTTAGAACGAGACTGTGCTTTGGGCTAAGTTGCGTTGGGTTGTCAATCCCTAGCGTTGAGAAACCCTAAACCCTAAACCCTATACCCTAAACCCTAAACCCTAAACCCTAAACCCTAAACCGTTTGACTTTTTGGGGTACCTCGTCCGATGCCATGTGGGCGTTTTGGGTAGCGCATGCAGCGTTTTTGGTTTTCGCCATATGGATCCTCGACGTCAATTATTAGGGTTCGGAGCAGGTGGCATATTCAGCTGTAAGAAGGGTCGCGAGCCAACAACACCTTCCTGGAATACTCAAGAGACGTCACCAACATGACGGCATCAGCCCTTTCAATCTGTTTTCGAAATTGTCCAAGAACGGCCTTGGCTCCCCACAGTTTTTTTTCACAGAGCCTGACCCTAAACCCTAAAACATGAACCCAAGACGGAAGTTGCAGAATTCTGTGTGCAGGCATGGCTGTCCTGCCTTCACCAGCTGCAGGTAGCTGCGCTTGTGTTCCTGGGGCTGCACAAATTCGACGAAGCGGAAGATGAGTTTTGGTTTCGGTGTCTACCCAGAGAGTCCAAGAAAGTCTTGTGATGCAGGAAGACTCCGTAAATTGAAGCAGGTACCCGTACTACGGCTAATGATAGAAATCCTGCATTACCCATAATAAGGAAAATATACCATAATGCCCATAGTTTAGGGTCCTTACGGTAATGCAGATTTGTATCATCAACCATATGCCTACGATTTCAGTCGCATTCCGCGATACGACATGTTGGAGTCTGTATGCAAGCCTCTTGGTATAGATAAATGGAACCAGGGTCAGGGACGATCTAAACGTATACCCTGAACGGGTTTAGGACCAATAAACCCCTCTCCCTCAATGACTTTTAGAATCGTGATCCTAAGCCCCTAAGCCCTGAACCCTCAACCCTAAACTCCTATCTAAACCTTAATATTATCGGGCTTGCCAAGAAAGTGTGTTCACATTATTTTGCCAACCAGGGAGGGTCTTTGCAGGTGTTTTGCAGTCTGTGCTTAAACGACGTCTTTTCACAGGCGGCCCATTGTTTGAAGTGTTCAGGGTTTAGGGGTTAAGGGTTAAGGGTTTAGGGTTTAGGGTTTAGGGTTTAGGGAGTTTGAAGCCCCGATTTAACCTCCTCCTTTAAGGCCCTTCAAGCTAGGAACCCTATTGACCCTATTGAACACAGACCCGGGGATTTTAGGGCAGGGTCGGCATTAAATGGTGATTCAAGACATTACAGGCTTCAAAAAGTGGGAGTCGAAAGTGGGAGTCGCAATGCTAGAATGTAGCTCCAATAAATTGTGTTTGCGTTCCGCCCCCAGCACAACTAACTCGGTAGGATGTTCAAAGTGATGCCAACGAATGCAGCTGACTTTTCACGCGCCCATGAGACTACTCGGTGCCGACATTTCGTAACTAGTACTCTTCAGGGCTTTGGGCACGATAAATGCTGCGCAATGTGGAAAAGGTCACACGCAGGCTTCACCTGCACAGAACCCTTCACTCGATGGCTGCTGCTGTAAACATGTTTTACTCCAATAAAAAGTGTTTGTGTTCCGCCCCCAGCTCCTGCTTTGGAAGACTTGCGTCTCTAAGGGAGACCCGAAACTCCCCTCCAAATATCCGGAAAGACTACTGCAACCCTGAAATGCTGGGCCTTTCGGGAACCTGAACAATCGTAGGTGTAGGTAAGATGAGAGCCCCCCTTCCTGTTCTGGAGGTGCGATAGAAGTATGATACACCCATAGCTCTCTTATGTTAAGCCCAACCTATAGCGAAAGTTCAACTTTCACCCAGAGGTCTCGCTGGTGCTTCCCAACCGCTGGCCATGCTGGGTTGCGGGTGCTTGTGTCTGCGGGGATGCAGGCTCGGCAACTCACGCTGGATTCTAAAGGATCCAGCTATATGGGTAGCTCTCTAAGTGAGGGTCCCTTTTCGAGTCCCCAAGATAGTACGGTAACCTTACAAGAAGGACCGTAAAAGGGACCCTAATTTGAAGAACTACCCATATCTATCTCACCCTAAAAGCCGTGGGTCCGGAACAGCAAAGCCTACGCCCCAGATCCTTAACACTGCCTTGACCATCCTTGACCTAGTACAGGGGCCTAGATAATTACCTTTCCTAGTGTAGGGGTCCTTCTTATAATAATACTATAAAGGACCCCAAAACCCCATTCTAATTATCAAGGCCCTTACATTACCAAGACCTCCTTTCTAGTGGAGTCCCCGTAAGATTCACGTTGGGATTTATTTTCGGACCCGACTAGAAAATTAGTTGCGGTATATAGGTTTATTGAGGTAGGTAGAACCTAAACTGGCTGGAATGTTCTTTTGGGGTTCATGGTCTGCGGTGTTCAATGCTGGGTCCTTTGGTCTTGATCTTTGAATGTTATGGTGCGCGGTTGGGGGTTGGAGTTGGAGAGACGTGTTTTGAGATCCTGTATTAGGAACCCAAAAAGGACATAAGCATAGCATTTTATAGGGATATCC